CCCCCCCCCCCCACACACACACCTTTGAGCTAGGGTCTTGCTATGTAGATAGAGATCCTCCTGCCTCTACCTCCCAAGTGCTGTGAAGTCATACTCTACAATCTGGGCTGGATCCTATCATCTACTTGAAATTTGTTTCTCTTTGGATCTGGAAATTCTCTCTCTCTCTCTCTCTCCTGAAACAGGGTTTCTCTGTAGCTTTGGAGCCTGTCCTAGAACTAGCTCTTGTAGACCAGGCTGCTCTCAAACTCACAGATATCTGCTTGCCTCTGACTCCCGAGTGTGTGCTTGTGTGGTTCAAGGCATACTTGTGGATGTCAGAGAACAAATGAGGGAAGTTGGATCTCTCTTTCCATTACGGGGGTCCCAGCTACTGAACTCAGGTCCCTAAGTTTGGCCATTATCCAATGGGCCACCTTGTTAGTCATGAGTCCAATTTTTGGTGTAGCTTCTGGAAATTTGAATTCAGGTCCCCATGTTTAGCGGCAGATTTGAATTCAGGTCTCCATGTTTAGCAGCAGACCCACTGAGCTAGTTCATCTTTTCAGCTTTCCTTTTTTATCTTTCCTGTTTTTTTCTTTCTTTCTTTTTTCAAGACAGGGTTTCTCTGTAGCTTTAAAGCCTGTCCTGGAACTAGCTCTTGTAGACCAGGCTGGCCTCGAACTCACAGAGATCCGCCTGCCTCTGCCTCCCAGGTGCTGGGATTAAAGGCGTGCGCCACTATCGCCCGGCTCCTCTTTCTTTTAAAGATAGGGTTTTACTCTCTACTCCAGGAGGGCTGCAGACTCATGACAAGTCTCTTGTCTCAGTCTCCCAAGGGCTGGGATTACAACTATGAATGAGCCAGCATGCCCAGATCTTTACTCCTATTTTTTTAATATTTATTTATTTATTATGTATACAATATTCTTTCTATGTGTATGCCTGCAGGGCAGAAGAGGGCACCAGACCTCATTATAGATGGTTGTGAGCCACCATGTGGTTTCTGGGAATTGAACTCAGGACCTTTGGAAGAGCAGGCAATGCTCTTAACCTCTGAGCCAGACTCTCAGGGAGCCCAGGCTCGACTTAAGCTATGTGGCTGAAAATGACTTTGATACTCTCCTTGCGTAGCTAAAATCTTTTCTACCTCCATCATGGAACAGACACAGGAAGACATGCTCATTCATCAGGGCTTAAGGGCTGATTCCATTGGTGACAGAGCAGTCTGTGCTCCACAGGATAGCTGAGGATATCTGTTGTCTCCCTACCTCCACCCTTCTCTCTTCCATCCTGGGTATAGTCAAGGACTAGCCTAGTGACAGAGGTCTGGCCTTTGCCCTGGGATGCTGAGAGACCATCTTTGAAAGTCCTTGGAATGTCCACTCCACTGAGCTGTCCAGAGGCACTGGCAGCACACTTGCAGTTTCTGCTGACAACAGAATTTCTGTTCTCCCTCATTTGTGCATTTTTTCTTCTTCCTGTGTGTGTGTGTTTGCGCGTGTGTGCTTATGTGCGCATGTGACTGCAGGCTTGCACCACCATGCCTGGTTTTTCTTATATTTCATTTATTTTTACATTGAATTCATAATCAGTGTGTGTGTATCAAATGTGCCACTTTGAGAATGTGGAGTCAGAGGACAACTTTTGGAAGTTGGCTTTCTTCTTCCCCTATGGGTTACTTGCACCATCTTGCCAGCCTTCACTTATCTTCTATTTATCTTTGATGTTTTATTCTTGTGCGCGCTAGTGCTTATGTCCCACAGCACTTGTATGGAGCATTTGCAGGGAGTCTGTTCTCTTTTTCAACATGTGTGATCCAGGGACTGAACTCAGGTCTTCAGGCTTGACGACAGGCAGCTTTATTCTTTTTTTTTTTTTGGTTTTTCGAGACAGGGTTTCTCTGTGTTTTGGAGCCTGTCCTGGAACTAGCTCTTGTAGACCAGGCTGGTCTCGAACTCACAGAGATCCGCCTACCTCTGCCTCCGGAGTGCTGGGATTAAAGGCCTGTGCCACCACCGCCCGGCCAGGCAGCTTTATTCTTGGAGTCATTTTGCCCTCCCTCCTTGTTTTAAGACAGAATATTGCAACTATGTAGCCCAGGCTATCCTGCCTCAGCTTCACAAGTACTGGAGTTACAGGGATCCACCACTGCAGCCAGCTAGAGTTTTTTTTATTTTCTTTCTTTTTTTTTGGGGGGGGTGTCCAAGATAGGGTTTCTCTGTATAACCGTGGTGGCTATCCTGGAACTAGCTTTGTAGACCAGGCTGGCCTCGAACTCACAGAGATCCACCCACCTCTGCTTCCTGAGTGCTGAGATTAAAGGCGAGCACCACCAGCGCCTGGCTCAGTTGGAGTTTTCCATCATGGTTGGTTCCTGATTAGAACTGACCTCCTCCCTCCTCACGCTGACCAGAGAAACTCTGTTCTGGTAACTCTGGCTGGTCATTAAAAAAAAAAAAAATCTCATGACGGCTCCTTCCTGTGCAATAGCAGGTCACAGGACTCCACTCCTGAGGGGTGCTGCTCCCTGCCCCGGAGGGAGGAACATTGCAGAGAGGTCCAGAAGAATCAGAAGAAAACAGGTCCTGCCGGGTTTCCCCACCTGGTCTGGGAACTCTGAACTCTGGGCGAGCAGATGTGTTCGAGAGCATTAACTCACACAGGAGGCTCCGACCGACCCTCCTCTAGGGTCCCCTCATCTACACCCTAGTCAGAGGCCTCAGCAGCAGTCAGTAAGCAGAAGTGTTTCTCTAGCTCATCAGTGGCAAGGGGCCCATCTGAGCAGGCGTAATAGGGAAGTTGAGTTTGATTCTGTAACCTGAGGTCACCACAGCAGCTGCTCCATTCCCTGTTCCTCCCTTACAAAAGGCTGTTGTTTTCTTTCTGAGATGGGCTCTCACCAGGTAGTCCTTTCTGATTTTGAACTTGGTACCCTCCTGCCTAAGCCTTCTGAGTGCTGGGATTATCGGGGATTGCCATCACACCTGGCTGTATGAGCTCCCTTTATGAAATCCAGTCTGGTAGAAAGCAGTGTGCACTTTGCCTGGGAAAGGCGACTGTACAGTGAGCACATTTTTTGGGGGGCGGGGCGGGTATCAAGACAGGGTTTCACTGCAGCTTTGGAACCTGCCCTGGACTGTAGACCAGGCTTGCCTAGAACTCACAGATCTCCACCTGTCTGTCTCCCAAGTGCTGGGACTAAAGGTGTGCACCACCACCGCCTGGCAGCACTTCTC